TTCAGGGGGCTTTTTGCGGCCCCTTTTCTCCCAGCCTCTCAAGGCCCCTCTCACTGGCAGCACAACCCTCTGGTGCATCAACCACTCCTTCCAGTTTTGTATCGCCTCCAAACTTGCTGAGGGTGTGCTCTGTCCCATTAACAAAGGTGTTACTTTGGGTAAGTAAGGGTACTGATGCAAGGTTTCAATGTGTGGGTTACTCATGTAGCGACTGTCTTCCATCTGGACTTCATGCTGCTGATCACAATCCTTTAAGCACAGCAGTTAAGCCAGTTCTTGATCCACCTCACTTTTCACTTACCTAGGTCATGCTGCATCAGTTTTTTTCTGTGAGGATGTTGCTTATTTAAGTAGGCCAAATATTTTTTTCTGTTCTTTTCAGACTCTGCTTTTGAAGTTAGGAACAAATTCCTGATGTATTTTTCTGTTATCTTGTCTGCAATGGGATTGCACTTACAAACAAAAAACTGAAACCTCCCAAACCAAAACATTATCTTCAGAATGTTCATACGAGGTCAGAGGCACAGAACCCTGTCATTACTACATCACACATTATACTGTATGCATGGCTCCAAGTAACTGTATTGGCAACTATGACAGCTTAAAACCGGTGTTGATCAGATCTCAAGGTATCAGCTTAGACAGTGAGGAATGTGTAAGCTGGGGACTTCCTGTGAAAAGAACAGATGTAGCTTGTCTTTGTTGAGCATGAAAGGAAGTTGGTGGTTGAGATACTGGGCAACGCTTAACTGCCTCAACAGTGAGGTTCTTTGGGTTTTGTTTGCATACCAGCCTTTTTTTTTTTTTTTTTTTAACCCTGCATCCTATTTATGTTGCCATTCAGCAGATGAGGTGGAAGTGGTGAAGACAGCAAGTCTTGTTACACAGATTTAATAAATGATACCTAATGGGGATATTGGGCCTCAAATGGTGCTTTATTTTCAAGTTAACTTAAAAAAGCATGTGCACAGGGGCTGTGTTAGAACACATCTGCTGTTCTGAGGTAGTTGAGTAGCAGGGTAGGTTACTCTCACAGAGAGTAGCGCTACAAGTGCATTAGGTGCCTTAGCCTGATTTCATAGATCTCGTATGTTATCAGTCAAGTATCATGTTTTAGGTTTTATTTATGATGTTGGTGGGATGTGTTTTGTAGATGCTACATTTGGTTTGGTGGTATCGTGTAAAATTGACTCCTATTAGAAAGGAGTGTGTCAGGAGAGCAGTTATTTAGAGCAGCCAGATCCTCTTCAATGGGTTTGTGTCCTGTTCAGAAGAGCAGCTCTGAATGTTCTGGCCTCCAAAGTCTGACTGGATGTGGTTGTGTGTGCTGTTAAATTTGTATAACAATTCCTTATTTCATCTGCTGATCTAGCTTCACATCCTGGAAGCTGAGAGCAAGAGAGCAAAGGCAAAAGTGCTTTAAGATGCAACTTCTTGTATGTATCAGTGGTCAGTGCCTCTGTGACCTACTCAAACGTTATTAACTCTTCTAATGACATCTTCCTGTGGAACAAAAGTTAAGCTCCGAGCCCCTTTAATCTGAGCTCAGAATTCACTGTGTGGGCTTAGGAACAAAGGCTTGTAACTAGTCTACTTCCCTTTTCTTTGGGTTTTTGGTTTTGTGGTTCATTGTTTTTGTGTGTGTGTTAAGAGACTACAGTGCTGGTCTCTAAAGACAGCTTATTTCCTTCTTTTAGCCTTTAGATGTATAACTTATAAAATGTTACTTTGGCCATCTGCTGAATTCCTATGTTGAGAATATTGTTAGTGTTTTGGTTTTTGCCTTCTTTCTTGTTTTTTATTCTGTTTGTGACTTAATTTTGTTGAGGGGGTGGAGGCAATAGCCTGCCTGACTTCACACTTAAACTAGCTGTCCAAGATGAAAGTTGGCTAATTATAGAAGAAGAGGTCAGTAGTTGAGGGAGAGTTGGTACGTAAGCCTGGTTTTGGTGCTTTGAGCTAAATGTGGAAGAGTTTACTTATGTTGGGAAGCTCAGGGATGTAAGCTGTTTGTCTGCCTAAAACTTGGGTTGCTGTTCTCTTGAAAACAATGATAAAACTTGCCCATGTTGGAGAAGGGCAACTCTTAAAAAGGCTATCTTTGCAGTTCCTGAGGCTGCTAAAGAAAATGTGTTTGGCTTTTTCAGAGAGCCTGATGGCTTTTCTCATGCATCTAGAATGAAAAGGGTTTTTTTGTCGTCCTTTTGCACTTGCAGATGTATTCTCTGTAGAATAAGGCTATGTAATTGCCCCTTTTTCCTCTCAGTCTGTTATGTGGAAGGTAGGGCTCAGTTCTTGGAAAAAAGCTTCATGGTATATCAATATTATTAAAAATTCAGTATTTAAGTGATTAAAACTTGCTTTTAAAAAATCACATAATGAAAAAGTTATCTTTTAGGAATTGAAAGTTTCATACAAAAAAAAATCCACACCGCTGTGACATGGCTGAGGGTTACTGGAGGTCCTGCAAGAAGAAAAATGATTAATAGGCTTATTTGTAAACAGTCTCATTTGTGTTTTCCCTTGAAAAAAGTCAGTTCTGGTTTTCTCATTATTTATATTGGAGCACAGCAATTTCTAAAAATGTACTAGGAGAAATTCTTAGTGTGTGTTTCTGCAATATTAAATGCCTTAGTTTATGGAATGCCTTGGTTTATGGAACGCTAAAATGCAGAATGAACATCTTTATCATGCTGGTATGAACATCTGTAAGTACAAATTGTT